TACATGTATCATATTTATGATTTTCTAAGAATAAATTCTATTATATATTGTATTTTGACATATATTTATAAATAATTAATTTATTAATATTGTCATAGTAGCAACAATTAAAAATGTTAATTTATATTAACGAGTTAATAAGTTACTTAACTAAGTTAAAGAATTAAAGTTTTATAAGTATTGTTATATAGCAGATTATCAATAAGTAATGAGAAGTCAGAATGCATGTAATAATGTATAATTTTTTAAATTATTTAAATGTTATATTATATTTATGTACAAGGTACAATTTAAAAGCATATCTTTGTTAATGTCTATATATATATTTCTTATACTTTATTATACATGTTGCCGTTTCATAAATTTTACTTCGTAGAAAATTAAATTATATGTAAAACAAAGAGGAAAATCAAGAGTTTTATTGGATTATATAATATTGCAGATCATTTGAAGCAAACAGTTGGTTTGATAGCGAGTCGCAATCGTTTGCCTGGTGCATCTACAGACAGCAATTTCCTAGCTGCCGTGCTTGTTTTGTTGTATATATCTGCGCGTATGCGACCATGATCAGCCGATCCGGAGAAGAATTTGATCCGCAGTTGATCAAAGGCGATGCATCAGGGATCATGGAAGAGCGAAAGCGCATTCAAACTCACAGCACGTATTCAATTTTTCTCTTGGAAATATCGGTGACACGACGGCAGTACTGCAACGGAGTATTGTCTCTCGAGTTAAATGCCGCCTCTCGAACTCTTGTGCAAACACACATTCGGAGGATTTTCGCACGACAATCGCGACGTTCAAGTTACATGTCATCTGGATTTACGACGTTTGGTTGAAAATGATAAAGGATAGAGAAGCGAGAAATTGAAGTGTTTGCTTTCTCAAATTGTATTGTAAAACACTGTCGATTTTAATTACCTTGTTTCCGTATTATGAAAACACGGCAGTTGGGATAAAATATTTCTCTCTCTTCTGATAAACTTCTATTTTAAATGTATATCTATTTTTCGATACTTTTTTATAGTATAAACTTTTTAATATGAATTAATGAGTTAAATTTTCCGGGTATATTTTTATATTTCTTAATTTTTGCTACAATTTAACTGTAGAACATTGTTTAATGAAAAAAAGATGTTGACATTCTTATTTAATAATCTCACTGTAAACAGAATTATATCTTATTTTATATTATATAGAATTATATTTTACTTTTTATATTTCACATTTTTAAAAGATTATTGCAAAATTTTGTAGACATTTGACATATAAAATGTATAAACTGTAAATGTTAATTATGTAAAATATATGCAATGAATTGTAAATTATATTTTTGACTCACAGAATAGACAATTAATTATCCATATTCTGTATAAAAAATCATAGTAAACATGACGTTATATAATTTCTAGAATTTTTAATGTATTAAACAATGCTTTGATTAAAAACGTTGACAATTTAATAAAAATATGAATAAACCGTCCCGTTTTATAAAGTCGAATTGATCTTTTATGTTAATTTCGGAAACCATAGTTGGTCGCACTGTTACTACTTCGTGTTCTGTCAAATACCGAACAATTTTCGTTTAAAGTATTTTTTTTTAATAATAACAGAATTATAGAATTTTTTTTATTTGAATAGTCCACTGTATATACTAATATTTATATGCAAGGTACCAAACTGCTTATATCCTATTGCAGAAATTCGCATTATAGAATGTTAGGTCGCCGCTGCAAATGGCGACTTGTTTGTCTCGTGTTCGACGTATAGTCTAATTATATCGGTACATGTTGACCGTCGATTTCCCTGAGCAGAACAAATCGATCGCGTGTCATCTGTCCACTGATTTTGAACTATTCGTTTTCTTTGGCCGAGTATCGTTTCGCTTGTCCTCGTAGTCGGACGTTTCGTGATTCTATTCGCGAAATTATATTTCTTACCGCGCGATATATCGGCTCGACCTCCAAAATTCCGTCGTGATACAAAAATGATTTGTGATAACAGATAGTTTTATGTAAAAGCAATCTATGAACATAAGAAAAATTTTATTCATCTATTATCTTCTCTTCATTTCTTTTTCAAAAGCTGTTACATAAAATAAAGGTAAGTAAAGATTAAGTTTAAAAATAAAAACTTATTCTTTAAATTAATATCTGTTTCCCAAGATTAATGTATAGATGTATTTAAAAAAAAATTGTATATATATATAAATTTTCAAATGCATTAACCTTTTAATTTTAACTTTAATAATTTTTTAAATTTGTTATTATTTGTAACATTTCATGAATAAGACAAAGAGAAAAGAGATTTATATTTATTATTATATTCTCTAAAAAGTTAGATAATATTACATTCACTTACAATTGCGTATAAGCGTAATAATTGAATAAATTAATCAATTCTTAAATTATAATGATACAAAATTTTAATTGAGTTATCTATATATTTTTTAATAAAATGTATACTGTTCTAATAAATGTATATAATAATAATGTAAAAATAGCAAGAGGGATGATTCTTTATAATTTTAATCTTCCTAAAAACTTTATAAATAATTTTATAAATTATAATGTATGTTTATATATGTGTATTTATTATATTATATATATATATATATTATAAATCTTTATTGTAATAGAATTTATTTTTTAAAAGACACTTAAGAATGTACAGTTTTAACTGCGTTTTTTTGTAGTAGTTGCGTGTAAAAAATGTTTGTTATCAGATACTGTTTCACATTCTTATCTTAGCACGTGCAGTTGACATATAAGCAGGAAATGGCAGTAACTCGTTACTTTTTTACCCGCTAATAAGTAAATGTAACTTTTGTTACTTTTAAAAAGTAACTTTTCATTCCTTGCATATAAGATGTCATCGTTAATAAATAATATGTTTGTAACGTCGATTTTTTTACTACTGAAAAACAATTTTATTAATCTACAGCACATTGTGTGTGTGTGTGTATGTGTGTGTGTGTGTGTGTGTGTGTGTGTGTGTGTGTGTGTATGTGTGCGTGCGTGCGTGCGTGCGTGCGTGCATGTGTGCGTGCACGCGCGCGAATGAGTATGTGTATTATAATTTTACAACAAATCAAAAAAATCAAAGACTTGAAGATTGAAGGTATAAAAAGTAAAGGATTAGCAAAAGTAGAAAATAAATTAAACGTTTTTAATTATATAAGAAATGAGATAAAAAATAATAAACAAAATAAAATAATAATGAGATAAAGTCACTAGACTAGGATGGGATCGTTTTCTGAAAATTATTAAATAATTCACCGAAATATATTATAGCAGTATAATAAAGTATCAACTATTCATGTTAAATTGATCAAACTTTCTTGCTAACCTTAGTAAGCAATTTTTAAATAATTCTATTACTACTGCTAAATTGCAGTTAATATCAACAAGTTAATATTTAATAACACGTTAATAACAAGTTTCGTAATCATATTTTCTCGTTTCTATTATAATATGCATTTACATATATGTACATTATGAAGAGCATATACTTAATTATATAAATACAAAAGCTATTTTAAAATATGTTAATAATTATAGATATAATATAAAAATTTTGTTATTAACATCAATCAGTTTAATTTTCCTTTCTTAAATGGATTATTACGAATTTTAACTTTATGAGCTCATGATAATTTCTCTTCAGAATTTGAATACATGTATATGTGGATAAAAAAAATCGTAGATTCTTATATTTCTAAAAATCGAGTATCTTGATAAAATGACAAGGACGCATGAAATTAAGTAAAGACGACAATTGTTACTAATTCTCTGCGGCTTGGGGTTCATATAAACAGGCATGATGATCATGTAGCGACCCTCGGTATGGGTGTTTAAACGAGGCTTAAACAAGGCAGAACGATTTGCGACATCGAGTGATAAGCGACATTTCTCACGTTGACAAAGTTATAAGAGTGAAAACAAGATCTAAAACTGGGTAATAACTTCAAAGTTATTGTTATATATTTGTAATATTGTATTATGATTAATATGATAAAATGTTCAGTGTAACAGTGACTTAATCTTACAAAAAAATTAAGTGTGATATTTATTCTAATAAAATGTATATATATAAAAATGTAATGGTTCAGTAGAAATTACATGTATATACGCGAGAGGTGATGAGGTCAATGACAATTTGCGCAACTGCAGTGTAATTGGATCATGTCCACCATAGAAAGATAAACAATAGTATATAGAAACCTATGTCATCTACACCAGCTGAGCTAATATAGATTATTCAACAGAACCATTTCTACTGCAGTCATTGTCCATCTGACCATTTGAATTTGCTATTTAAATCTGATAAATCTGACAATGTAATGTACAGTATTTGTTGGGTGTAAGAGAGAGAAACGTAATATACAGAACAAAGTTCTGATCCATAAAGCATGCAACATAATACGTAATGTGAGAAATACGTGATATGTTTGACTCCATATATTAAAAAAAAATAGATTAATTATTTAACTCTCATATATTTTTTGAAAACAGAAACACTGCTTTATCATTAACTAATTAAATAATTTAAAAAAGTTTTGGTAGTTATATACTGCTTTACGTCTGCTAAAATACATATAAATACTTTAAATAGCGAATCAAGTATGTGTGATAAAGTAAAATATTTCTAAATTTCAATAAAATTAAATATTATGCAATAATTTAATTATCTCTTTTTGTAATATTTATTTTTATAAGTCTATATGTATGTTCATTTTTCTTTTTACACTATGTGTGACATATTTTTTATAATATAATGTGTAACTTATTTTACTTTGTTTGTTTATTACAAAATAGCAGCTACTTAATTTTAGCAATTTTTCAATTTTTATTCAGCTATATATTTAGATTTAGATTTTTTTTGCGCTTCTTATAAAATTCAACGAGCGCATAAATTACTTTGTAAAAATGAGCAATAAAATATATTTTTCAGTGAATGTGTGAGGCAAAAATCCATCAGTGTGAGTGTGAGAAGCGCGACTGACAGTTTGATTAACCTGAATTATCGAAATACGATGGGAAAGGTATTGTACTGATTGATATGCAATTAATGCTTATAAATACTTATCCAATATTTACCCATAAAATTTATAACTTCGTATATTTACAAATACGAGCTCATGTATGCATATATATGTTTAAAAAAGGTATTAATTAAAATTTCTTAAATAACAAGAATAGTAAGGCTAATGAGAGCTATTCGCTGTTGTTAGTGCGTTTAATTGTTGTTTCTTAAATAAATTATTAATTATATAGTATATACCTATATATACATATAATATATATATTTATATTTATATAGATATTCAAAGACATTCAGTAAACTTCTCTATATCCTAAAAACATTCTAGGACGTCCCTTAGATGAAGTGCTATATAGATATCTTAATCTTTCTTTTTTTAAACATTTAAATTATTATAACATTAACATGTCTTATGAGGGTATATATTTTATATCGCACATTTTGCATTCTTTATAACATTCAAAAAATAGTCCATCTTTTATTCAACAAAACTTTGACTACTTCTACATACACTTCTTTATATTATTGCCTACATTATTGCCAAATAAAGATAAATAGGAATAAAATAATAGTTTTTTAATAAAAAAAATAAAAAGACGATGTTAAAAAAATTAATTTTTTTTATCAAAGATTTGATTAGTTTAATTCAATAAAGCGAAAATATCATATTAAGTTAAAATATTATTGTAAATAATGTAATAATTTTTATAGAACTAACACTAAATATATAAAAAATTGATTTCAATGAAATAAGTTAGTTTTTATATATACTATAATATAGCTTGTGTGATGAATATATAAGGTATTATAGATACATAAAGCTTAATAAGTTTTTAAACTGTGATGTACTGAAGGTATTCTATAAACGGTATTCATAGTCGATTCTTAAGTGATATTTGAGATTAACCGTCTTAAATACAGTCTTAAGATGTCACGAATCAATTAAAGGACCGTATTAACATCTTAAGACATTACTTAAGACAGTTTTAAAATAAGAAAGGAATATGAATACCGGCTTGTGTGTGTGTGTGTGTGTGTGTGTGAGCGCACATTTTACACCTTTGTAGTACAGTTCAGAAACGACCTATTATTAAGTCTTGTGACGTCTTTTGTTCACCACATTATTAGCTACGTAATTATGTTCTAATCCTACATTAGGTGACTAGTTCTACATGGTGTATTAACAGAATTCGAATACTGTATAGAGCTATCACAAAATGCATTCGTGTGAGTTTTTTGAGGAGAAATAGGTGTGTGTGCGTGCGTGTCAAAAAGAAAATTAAAGAGTATAAAAAAAGAAATAAAAAATATGAAACAAAGAAAGTAAAAAAGTATAAAATACAAAAAAATAAAATATAAAAACATGGAACCAATATTTCGTTGCGGTTCCGGATTCGACAGAGAACGAGATAAAAGATACAAAAAAATAGACGCGCGCGCGCACGCACACACACTCACACACACCTTCCCCTTTAAAAAACTCACACGAATGCGTTTTGTGATAACTCTATACAGCATTCGAATTCTGTTAATACACCATGTTCATACTTAATTTTTAAGGTGTTCCCAATCGATCCCGAACTTTTCATTTATAATATTTTCGTATTCAGGAGATTAAAATCTATTTAAAAAAACGCTATTTCTTTTACTTACACCTTTGTAGACAAAAATCAGCCTCTTTTCAACATCCTCCTTTGTGATCAACTTACGACTAAAATTAAATTAGGGATATGTAAAAACTAATTCATTTTATTTAAATCTAATTTTCCTAAAATTATGATATGATCTTTTTTGAATTAAATTTCTTAATTCTTCTAAAGTTTTCGCAAAATAATGCGGAAATGTTCTCGTGATAAATTCATTTTCCTTTGATAGTGTCAACTTTGAATATGTCTCATATCCAAATAAATTCTTTTTTACAGACAATGTATACGTCAGTAACTGAAAAGAAACAAGTACTGATGCTATTTCTGCTCGAAATTATCCTAATCGTGCTAATAGGAACATTTATGACGTATGGTCCAGAGGCGAACGCTAATCTGCTAAAAAATCGTACCGGTCAGTATATAGTATATATACATATATGTATATATGTACAAATGCGTGCATGTGCATTTTATGTGTGTCTTGTAGTTAAAAATTATTACTGGTGTAAATCGATTATGTCTCCAAGTTTGCATTCTATTCGTAAATACACGTAAATTATCGCTAACAAAATAGAAGAATGTAAATTTAAAATTAAATAGCAATTCAATTAAAATTAAATGCAAATTCAATTTACAATTTTTTAAAATAACTTTAAAAATAAATAAAGTATATATAATTTTAAAAAATTATTAATGCTTTTCATGTTTTTCATGATAAAAAAGTTGCTTTATAATCTCATTTTAATTAAACATAAAAAATAAAAAGATTAAATATTCCTAAGAATAATAATTTTTTCAAAAATTCTGAAAATATTAAAAATTTTAAGGATTTAGCTTAAAAAAATTTTAAAAACTTTTAAAACTTACAAAATTTCTAGGCATTAAAAAAAATTGTAAAACTGTTACGAGTTCTAACTTTATTATTCGAATAAATCAACTTGATTAAATTTTGCATGTAATTTACTTATACTATACCATAAACATTCTTCACTATAAATAGTCTTCATTTCTATTGCTTTTACAGAAATTTAATACAAACCAATTTATTATTGAAAGGCAGTAATTAATCACTACTTTCAGTAATTGGCCAATATTAAATTGACCAGAAATTTCTATAATAGCATGTTTAAAATAAATGCTAATTATATTTACAGGCACCGCCGACAAATCTGGGCAAATAAAAAAATCGCAAGATAATCCATTACGAATTTATCCGAGTAAGTAGATTTTATTACGCTTTATTTATTTATGTTTGTTTTGTGGGAAGAAAAAGGATAATATGAAAATAAAAAAGAAATCTAGAAAAAAATGTGTTTATCTAAAAAAATATGGTGACCGTGTCCTATTCAAAACAGAATCAGTTTAATCTGAGAGAAACATTTTTTAAATAAATAACATTTTTTTAAATGAAGAAGAATGTATAGAAAAATTAAAATAGATTATCTTTTATATCTGTATATTCTGCATTATACGTTGCACAAAAGGAGAAATAGACACGTTAACATATGAATAAGAGTTACGAGTTCTGACCATCTTGACCTTTCCTATTTTAAATATCGATTCACTATCACATGTTCAAAGGATTTGTTGGAGAGAGACGTTGTTTGTGCGTTCAATTGGAAACAGTTCGTTTTCAGCATCTGTCAGTGAATTGTCATGTCAACGTTTTTTCCGATTAACGTCTACTTGCAACGTTTATTATTATACTTAATATAATAGATCTTTAATTACTTCATTTTTTTTAATTAGTACACTAGTATAATTAATAAATTATAATTATTCCAAATAAAAGTAAATAAGACTGTTGTATAAAGAATTGCAAAAAAATTTTATTTTAATTTAAAATATTTAAAATGTTTCTTTAAAAAAGTTCCTAAAAGTTATTTTTAAATAGAGAATAAAATTCAATAATAACAATTTTAATTAAATTATACGTTTTTGTTTCTTTTTTTAGAAATAACTGCATAATAATCGTGAAATTACAATAATACAAAAATTAACAAATTAATCCTAACACTTATATTTACAAATATATATATAATGAAAAGAAATATTTTTATATTCTTTTGAATTTGAAAAATTTTAATTGTATTAATTTTCTGAATTATATAATTCGAAACTCAAAGTGTACACTTTCTATATGATCAATTAAATTCAAACGCATATGTATATGCATTGAAAAAAAATGAATCAATTTTCACGAAATACAAAAATACCAAGAATTTCGATAAAGTCACGACCAAGCACATTTACCGTATGACTCGCCATACATTGCGGTGGCTTCATCGGTATATAGTCAATCTCTGTACAATGCTGGTACGAATGAGGATGTGCTATGGGTCAGAGCACGCAATCATACTTCTTCTTATCGAGGGTTTTCTGTTGTGTGCTTTTATTGCTATATATGATTATGCCCAGGAGGCAGATGCCAGTAACCGACTGAATAGCGTCCATCCTTATTTGAATGGACAATCAAAGTCTCTACCCACCACATATACACGTGAGTTTAACATACATCGATGCCGCCATTTCCTACCGTTTCTATTTTTCAGTTATTTTCTTCTTTTCCTTATTATTTGTTTTTTCCGCTTACTGTCAACTCATTTTGAAATCTCCTGCTCTCTTCTCTTTAATACATGTATATCTCCAAGAAAGACTCAAATACGTATAAAACATGGAAAATATTATTGAAATCTGAAGCAGTGTATAATCATGAAAAATGTAAGCGTAAAATTTTTGTTCTTGATTGTCTATTTACCAAGTCTCATCAGTGATCTTATGTTAGTTATTTAATGAAAACAATTTTCAATATTTTCTATTATTCTGTAAAATCGTTAAAAAGCGATAAAGTAAAAGTTACGTTCTTTATTGAAGAAATATATTGGAAATGAAATTAATAAATGTGAAATTGAAAAAAAAACATGCTAAGCGAATTAAAAAATTAAAAAATTTTAAATGATAAATGTAAGTCTTAATGATACATGCGATAATATATTAAATGAAATGTACAACACAATAACGAATGAAACAGAAATGTATGAACCAACAGCAAATTAATCACATTAAAACCGAGGGTACGAATATATATAATTATAAATAATATCTTTTTGTATCTTTACAGATACATGTGTCTATGCGCTGCAAATTTATAATTTTCTATTACTTTTATCTCTTTAATCAATCAAAATCCATTTTAAATTATAAAAAATTTTACACAGGCAAAAAGTTATAATATATTTCCAGTAATAATATAATATTTATTGGTAATATAATTCTAATACATATTTTACATAATACATATTTACACTTATCAACTTGACATAAATTGTCACGAATATATTACTTACAAAACGAAACGCTTGTTCTTTTTCTGTTCTTGGGGTTTGTCTAAAATGGTACAGTGTATCAAGATGTCCATGTGATGATTTGGATTGGTTTTGGCTTTCTGATGACATTCCTCAAAAAGTACAGCCAAAGCGCTGTTGGTCTGACTTTCCTCGTAGGTGCAATTCTCGTCCAGGTGGCTTTAATCTGCGATGGCCTAATGAACATACAGTTAGGCCATAAGGCTTACCTCTCGTTAGAGAGGTTAGTGTTTATTTTAATTTATATTAAAAATTACAGTAGAGAGATAAAGATAATTATTAATTTTATATTATAATTAGGAAATAAGGGCCCTAAATGGTCAAGCTAGATCTTAAGTGCTGAAATAATTCTATGTGAATTTATGTACTACATGTATATAAAGATCTTAATGAACATTAATATCTTTCTAATAAGATGCCTGATTGAGCATCAAATCATTAAATTGCTAGTCAATTTAATTTGTTATTACTACAGTAGTTTAATCAAACTGCGTTTCAAAAGACCGAAAATATAATAATTTCGGCGCGCGGTTTAAAAAATACTACATACATGTAGTATATAAATTTACATAGAATTATTTCAGCATTTAAACTCTAGCTTGATCGTTTACTTCTTAATTATTATGTAGTTACATAAAGGTCTTATTTAAAACTTTGTACAATTTCATATTAGTTTTATTTTACATGTATAGAAACATCATAAACGTTTTATTTTTATTCTAAATTTGAATAAAATAAAAATTAGTCTCTTTATAGAAAAATTTGAATAAAGATATTTGTATCTTCATTATATGTATCATTACGGAATTTTTCAGTCTGCTTAGTGCAGACGTTGCTGTGGCTACACCGCTTATCTCCATGGGAGCAGTTTTAGGCAAAGTGACTTATATGCAACTGGTGTTCATGGGAATAGTGGAGTTGATTATGTTCACCATTAATAAATACGTAGGCGAAGAATTGTTTATGGTGAGTTTATTCCTATTTTTGCATAATGTGTTTTCTCTACACCATTTGATTTATCTTACTATTCTGTTCACAAAAAGTATTAAGGTACGATAATCAAAAAGTCAACAGTTTACGAGTTATTTAACATTTTGTGTCAATATGTACCAAAATAAAGTGTAAAATATCTCGTAAACTATTGGTTTTTTGGTATCTCTACCTTAATACTTTTATATGCAAAATAATTAGAGGAATCATGTTATCTAAAAAAAATTACATAATTCCATTTAAAATAGTGGAGGTGACCTTCATATCTTTTTAACGCCTCCACTTAGAAAAAAAAAACAACGTGACTAAAACGTGTCCTCCTCGACACACCGTTCCATTTTTATTTGAAATATTTTTTCGTATTGTCAAAAATAAACGAAATATTCAAGATGTGTGTTCGATTTAAATGGACTACCCGGTATATGATTGTAATATATAATTAAAATTAGAATATGACGATAAATGTTTTATCACACATATATTATATAAGAACATGTATATTTTCTATTATTTTATAAATATATGATATAATTTCTGTAAAATAGAGATAAGTTATACTTTCTTATATTATATGTAAACTTTTTTCATATTTTTAAGGTCGTCGACGCTGGTGATAGTATGTTCGTTCATGTGTTTGGTGCATATTTTGGATTGGCAGTTAGCTTTGTATTCGGATTGAAGGAAAAACCAAAGGAACATGATTTGGAAGGATCGACTTATCAATCAGACGTTTTCGCCATGATCGGTATGTCAAAACTGTTTGCATATCTATAGTAATGATGAAGATTAACATTGCATTAAGTTTTATTCTTTTTCAAATATAATTTTATGATATTTTGAAAGTATTAATCATTAAAATAGAATAGTAAGATAATTAATTATTACCTTCAGGTACTGTGTTTTTATGGCTATTTTGGCCGTCATTCAATAGCGCTGCGTTGACAGGAGATGATCAACAGAGAGCTATAATCAACACTCTGTTATCAATATCTGCAAGCTGCGTGATCACGTTTGCTGTGTCGGCATTGGTTTCTAAGGATAACAAATTCAATATGGTACACGTACAGAATTCGACCTTAGCTGGAGGTGTCGCGATTGGCACAGCTGCAGGTGATTTTATTAACTCTTTAACATGCAACTACTAGATAAAAAATGTTATACATATCTATATATGCATATTATACACATATATATGTAGTATTTTTATATAATACGTAAAATACTTTATAACGCACACAGCAAAATAAGAAAGTGATTAAATATGTTGATTAAAATGTGTCTTTACTTTTTGTAATTTCAGTCAGTTTTTTCATTGACCTTGAGCTGATTAAACTTTCTCTCTTCGATATGTTACTATAATTTAATAAATCGATATACAGAGTAATTATGAATTACTCAGTGTTCAAGGAGGCCATCCTCTAATTTGAACTTTCTCAATACACACAGGTATGATGTGTCAACCAGTAGGTGCTTTGATCATTGGTGCCATATCCGGTATAATTAGTGTGCTGGGATACAAATATCTTACGGTAATAATGAAGATTATTATGCAATTGCAATAGTGGATTAATTATTTGTTTTTAAAATTGTTTTTTATGTTTTATCAAAAATGAATAATCTACGAAGTAATTCACATTTTGTACCAAATTTATATTAGAAGTATTATATCGCAGAAAAAAATATTAGATTAATCTATAGATTAATCTGTAAATGTTTGGTTATTGTTAGAATTAGCAGAAATCAAATACTTTAACCTTTTTATTTTTTTATAACGTTGAACTGAATTTTTACGAAAAACTTAAATGCTATTATAATTAAGAATTTTTCTGTTACACAATGAGTAAGTTATACGACTCTGCAAAGCCTCTGTTCTTTTTTTCTAATAAATTATTTTTATATTAATTTCTTTATCTCCTTTTACAGCCATTTATACAGAAACATTTTTATATCCATGACACCTGCGGGGTACATAATTTACATGGAATGCCTGGCGTGATAGCTGCATTTTTTGGGGCACTTATGGCATGCTTAGCTACGGAAGCCACTTACGATTACTCCCTATACGAAGTACGTAATTTCATTGTCTTGAAATTCGAATTAATCATTTTATTATTTTTGAGTAATTTAGTCTTATTTACGTTATACTGTGCAAAACTGTAATTTAATCATCTCAGTTTTAAAACAATATTTTTGCACCTTATGGTAATTATCGCACAAATAACTTCTACACGTAAAATGAAAAGATGAAATGATAATTTGAAGCTTAATGGACTACCTAACTATTATAGGAATATCTATTATAATATATTAGTGAAACGGAATATTGTACATACAATGTTTGATAAATTGTATTTTAACTTCTGTTCTATTTTACCTGTTTTCCATTAAACTATGCATAAAAAGTTTAAAAATAAAATGGTCGAAAATTTGAATGTTCTTAAAAGATGTTGTAAATTTTATGTTAAAAATAAATTATAATTAATGTTAAGAGAGTTAAAATAATTTACTTATAATTTTCTTTATATTTATGTTTGATAAATCTCTATATTTATTAAGATTTTTCCTGCACGGGCACCGAGTTCAGAGTTAAAAATTAGCGAGATGCGCGACAATTATGGAATATCAACGGGATACAATAGAACGGCGTATCAGCAAGCGGGATATCAATTACTGGCACTAGCGATTACCCTTGGGATCTCCATTGTTTCTGGATTAATAACAGGTACTTCAATCTCCATGTCGCACATATAGTATTATGACAAGTAAAAAATAGAAAAACATTTTTTTATCTATATGTTCATTATGTTTAAGTTTTCGATGTAACTATTTTAATGGTTTGACAAAATCATTTCTATCTATATACAGCTAAATTATTTGAAAATAAATTTTTAGATATTTTAGCAAAATCATTCAATATATTTTTCACCTTTTTTAAATATCGGTAGTAGTGATAATCACAGAAAGTTGAAGCTCCTATTTTAATATTTACCACGACTTTTTCAGATTGTGATATCGAAAGCAAAAAATACACAATACAAATTCTTATAAAACACATTAATATGGAAATAAAACAACACTTATAATCGATAGAATTGACTTGTAAAGTATATAGAAAACTTCTTCTGTTTCATATTAGTAAATAAATAACATATATTGAGCTGTGTTTGGTTTTGCTCATGTTGAAAGCTTCATTTTATCTTTATCGCTCATTATGTGAAAGAAAAATAGAATAAAGCTTACAATGCATATAAGCGCCAAATCGACGCAAACTCTGAAAATGAATTATGTATAATAGAAAACAAAAGAAATTAAGTTTATAACTGACAAACTGTTAAATTAATAATATATGGGAATAAATGATGTAGCTTAATTTGTTCCAGAAACAAGAAAATAGTTTAGTTATTTTATAAGACTATTCTATCGACTGCAAATGTTGTTTTCTTGGAAAACATTTCTATTTAAATACAATTTGTGAAAATTCTATTGTGTGTTTCTCCGCTAACATTACAATCTGAAATTATAGGTGAAGCGAAATAATAGTGATGAGTGAACGAAAGCCTTAAATCTCCATTCCTTTTATCTACTCATTTACATTCCACATCCAAAGCGGATTAAAGAGAGGTGCTGATACTTTTTAACATTCTCTTTCTAACAAATCTAATAGAGCACACATGCTGATGTCAGTTAAAATTGGAAACGCACAACTCTATAGCCATTACATCTAAGTCTTTTCCTATCAGATTTTTTTCCTTCTATCATTTTCCTCTATCTCCTCTATCTCTCTTTTTATACTTTTTCTCCCTTTCTGTTTCTCATCTTTCCTTTTCTCCCTCCTTCTTTTGTTCCCTATCCGGCTGTTTTCTGGTTTTGTCTCGCTTTTCTCTTTTATTCTTTCTGTACCTCTCTTTGGTAGAAATTCAATAATGCAATTTTTTCCATCAAATTATACATAAATTGTAAAATCTAATTCAAGACCTTAAAGCGCGGATGTATATGTGCAATAATACAATTATTTTTCTTTCCTTTATGTATTAACAATCGTTGATTTCATTCTTTGTGCATATAAAAACTTCAACTGGTGTTTTGAAATTAGTTTAAACCTTTGTCTGAACTAGTGCCAATTCACGGCTTTTTTAACCATTCTTTAAACTAGTATTTTCCTTAAATTGGATTGTCTTTACTTGTTTATAAATGAGCCGATTATTTCATGTTTTATTAATTTTGTTCATTTATTTCGTCTGATTATGTACGTATATAAAACTCAATTTACAGGTTTACTTCTACGTACGATGATGTGCGGGTGGGTCACTGAACAGCAGAAATTCGATGATGAGGTTGTTTGGGACATGGAAGAGGAATTTCAGCACGAATTTGGAAAAAATCGAAATGATAACAATCGCCCTAATGATCACATAGTTATGGGCAATATTTAATATGTTGATATACTATAATATCCAACATATAAAATGCAAAGTATGCACCAAATTATTTAAACTTGCATGTAAACATTAATATTAAATACCATATTTTAATATTTGTATAATTAATTTTTACTTAATAATTAGTTCCTGTTTGCATCTTTCATAGAAAAACCGCATTATAAATGCTTACAGTACGTATGTACAGACTTTTTCAATTTATAACACTTTCCTTTTTATAAATATAATTAATAAATAAACAAAAAGTTATAAATAAGTAAAAGTAAGAAGTGTATAAATAATAAATAAATGAGTTCTAAATATATATATATATATATTAAAACTCATAAAAATTTTGATAAACACAATTATTGAGAAAAGGATTAACGCATTCAGACACATAATTATTAATCCATAAATGTGATTTAAGATATAACCATTAATTATAAATTATAGTAAATTTCATTCTTTTATTTTATCCTAATATTTACAAAAAAATATATATCTTTTATTTTGTCTAAAACATTTAAATTGAAGCAGGACATTTGCATGTATTTCAGTAATTTACTATAGTTTTTCAATTCATTTTCTTACCTTCTCATACCTTTTCCTTTCTTCTTCTTCTCTTTTTTCATTCCTTTCTCTTTCTCTCTTTTTCTCTTTGTGTCCCTCTCTGACTTGAACAAATTTTTGGTACTTTTCCATTATTTTCCTTTTAACATTCGTTTTCTTTTTATGAATTTTTCTATGATTCTTCACTTCATTATTTTTTCTATCGCCCATCTCTTTTCCTATTATACATACACAAAAATATGTATGAAAAATTCAACACATTCACATTTTTTAATATCTGAAATAAAACTTAAACTTTATTCCTTCTTGTATTCATTTCAATGTAAATATCATATTATTCATTACAGTATAAAACATTGTACATATAACACTTTATTCTGGAATCGTAAATTAGAACCACCTTTCTCTCTTTCTCTTTCTACTCTAGAAATTTACTTCGTACTATTATTCTAATGATACAAGCGCAGAATAAAAATGTTGCGTACTACATTTCACTTGCTGTCTTATTCTATGTATAATTATGTAATTACGTGATAAATGTATAATGGAAGAATAACACAAGAGAAAATGTTAAGTTGACAAGAGGCTAACTATTCTAGAATAAAAACTGATTCAAAACAGTAAAAAATAGAATAAAAAAGTTCTACTATGTAAATGTTACAATTTTTTAATTAAAATTTTTATACATATTCTATTGATATTGTCAATGAGAAATGCGAAATTAATAGGATAAATTTTGATGGGAATAAATTACTGGAAGAAAAGAGAAACAGCTCCTTTATTTTTCGACGATTTATTTCTGATTATTGTTAAATCTTACAAAAGAACACATAATACAGATTACACCGCTTGATGGTAAATCCATAAATAGATTAAACCTAATTTATTATTGTTGCGTTTATACTTAAGACCTTAAATTAATAGTACATATGTAAAAAGATTATTGCATTCTCCCAAGAAATATCTTCTTGTACGTTATAAAAGACATCCTACATAATATGAAATATTGTTCCTTTAATAAATAAATTTACTCAAATAAACGCGTCTAAAATAACGGTATATATATGTATATAGAAAGTTGAACAGACAAATCGGGAGACTTGCAAAATGAATTATAGGAAATAAATTAGTAAATTGTTCAATTACCTACCTTAGTTATTAGTATCATAATTGAATTTATAATCCATTAGCCAATCAGATTTTAATTTTATGATAACCTTCTCTTTCCATGTTTAATAGACTTATTAATATATGAAAGAATGAATAGGAGAGTGAGAAAAAGAGAAAGAAGGAAACCCTATGGAAAAGTCACGGGGTCCCATTTTACTATGACTTATAACGACTCGGGATTGACAGTGTACTTGTTCATTCACTTATCAGATTCAATAATTACCTAGTTTATTTATTTTACTTAGTGCGATCAGGCAGATCATAAATTGTGTATGGGAGAGATTCCTAACAGCTAACACCAAACTTTTCTTAACTTTTGTATCTATAAGTTAAATGTCTTATATGATTATATAGTATCTTCTTTTTTTATATTCTTTCCAATAAATCTTGCTTATCACTTGTTTTTAACAGAATTATCTATAGTTATAATTAATAATCCTAATCAAATTCCTGAATGTTTCATCAGACTCTATGTATCCCAGATTTAATTTAAAAAAATTAGTTAATAATATCTTGTTTCATTGAAAACTTACGGCTCTAAATATGTTCATGTATCATGGTTTAATTTTGCATCTTACGAATGACCCAGTAACGTGTTGTGTACGCAGTACCCCGGAACACTTTAATTTATACGCGCATTTCTTTCAACTGACAACAGGTGTCATGCCGCACTATGGCATCGAGCGAACAGCAAGAATCGACAATTCAATTAAAAAGGAAGAAGATAAAAATATTTATTATATATATATGTATGTATATGTAGAATAAAAGAGTATTTGCTTTATCGTGGTAATCTTTTAAACGTTTATATATCATGGCAGTTTAATAATGTATAACTCGATAATTTAATTCGACAGTTTAAATTGTAATAATATAAAAAAGTGTAATGAATACGGCAAAGTATATTAATGTGAAAAATAAACTAATATAATATAAAACAGCTTTTTCATTAAAAAAAAAAAAAGGATTTATATTTAAACATGCATATGTATGTTTTATATTTAAATACACATATTTATAATATAAAACAATAATGAAAACTGTTCATGTTTAAATAATTTTATTGCTCTTATTTATTTAATTTGCCGTTATATATTAACTTGGCCCATTACTGATATTTCCTTCAATTATTTATAAAATCTCTTTTTTCTACTGTGTAATCTATAAATGTAATTCAAAAAGATTCAACATGAAAAGAAAACACTTAGCATTTTTCATCAAACATGGTAAAACATAAATTAAATTTCTTTTACGATATATTTTTGGGGGATTTAAAGAGTTAAAGAAATGTCAAATATGTGTGTGTATGTGTGTGTGTGTAAGACTAATAAATGCGTTAATCAAAGAGAGTAAGAAGAAATATATGAAATTGTTGTCAAAAAAGAAAAATTTAATTGGAATTTAATTTTTTTCTTTATGAAAATTGTAAATCTTAAAAGCCACTTTTAGATTATTGTAAAAATAGTCACAAATTTTTTTATTAAATATTTTTAGCTATAACTTTTTAGTCGGAATCTAAATTAAGTTTATGACATTTAAAATAAGCTTGTAGCTTATGATTATAAAAAAGGTCTCGATTGTCAATCTTCTTGCGTCCCCTACGATATCGTTTTGCGACTCGACATTTCATATATTATATAAACATTATCACGATACTATGACAACGCATATACTATGACAAATAACACCTCAACATTATTAATAATTCTTTTCTTTATCATTGTTCCGTAGGGGCAGGCTATGTTTCACGTTATTTATATCGTACGTTTTTCCTAATTGATTGTTGCAAATTACGTCTGTTCGCTTTCTGTTGCGCTTTCTGTTTTTAATCTCGTCCTTTTTCTCTTTCATCTAAACTATCTAAAGGTTAAAATATAAGTCTATTTATAGTTTAAGACTTTTACACAAAAAACACAAGAAAGTGCATCTCAGACAAACAGATCGTCATAGACGTAATCGTTGTGAACTTGCTTGCTACATATTGCGCACACACAAAAATCACGATTATAATCTTGTAAAAGGAATGATAAAAACGCTGTTTGCAAAATTTCTTGTTTTCAGTCTCATTTCATATATACCAAGAAATATATTTTGTAGGATAAAAAGTATATATATTTCTTGTATAATATCAAGTATAATATCAATTAGACACACGAGGATAGTTAAACAAAATATATTAAATAATTCGTATACAATTGAATCAGTTATTATAAAGCGGACATGAGTTACCATTTTCATGAAATTAAGTTAATGTAATATAGTTCCTTGATCAATGATAAAATTCACAATACATTCTGCATAAAAAAAGAGAATCAATAGGATTACTAATTGCAAAAATATTGATCTGTTTATACTGTTTATAGGCAACTGTTACAAAAAAAGCATGATTATGAAATCTTTTTTGAAATTCTTTTAAATTGAAATAAGCGCTTATTTATATTTCTATAAATGCCAAATATGCACTAAAATGCTAATATGCACGATAAAATTAAAGAAAGAAAAGCATTTTTTCTGTAAAAAAAAAAACGTAGCATAACTCGTGCATTTTCATAATCAACTAATTCAATTGTTGCCTTCTTAACTTTTATTGATGAGTATCAAAAAATTAGTAGTAGAAAATCTTTAATTTTTATAATCAAATAGTGTCTATTTTTTCTTAAAAAATGTTTTAATCATATTAATTTTGACGTTCTATAGTCGCACCATATGCCTTTGTTAATTTTTTTTAATTGTACATCATCATCAATTCTTGATATTTTTGATATTCTAGATATCAAGTCATACTCCAAGGATCCAAGTCCACTCATCACAAATGATCATCACTATTGACTTAATATGAAAAATATGTATAATTCGTCAAATACTTAATAATGTACTCAAATCTCCGTATTCTTAACATGATAGATAGAGAACATCCTCCATCAGCCCTCAATTTTATTTCGATAGCACATGCGCAGATTAAAAATATATGCGTCTGTTGTGCTGTTGGCAAATGGAGTAATGATAACGTATGATATTTTTTATAAATAAAAATTGATAAACATTTATTTATTCACAATAGATAAAAATATAAATAGAGTGGCCGATTTTCATGCCGATAAAGCTTTAGATTGAAAGCCAAAATAAAGAAAATGAGAAAATAATTGCTGTATCTCTTTCTCTCTCATTCGCGCCTGCGCGTTGACATTTGATGCTTATAACATACGCATGCATGCATACGTACATAATGAAGAAACTCCTATTTAATAAAAAACATCTATTAATACCCTTGTTCTTATGACAACCTCCGTCTACCTTTCTAATTATGATCGAGTGATCACGTTGTCACATGATAAAATGTGATAGCATGTATGTATACACAAGGGTATGTGTTAAGAATACGGAGTTCATGTAAGTGTTGTAATAATATAGAGAAGTTAAAAATACACTCAACAGCAAAATTAAAGGATTACTTATCCTGCTCCCCAAAAATAGGCAAATTTCAAAAGAGTCTAACTTTGTAAAAAATGATCGTAAAAAAATTTGTAAAAAAGCATTCGTAAAGAATTAATCAAATCGAAATATCAATTATCATTTTCGAAAGTAGAGATTTCAAGCTTTAGAGTGCTTTTTTACAAATTTTTTATGATCATTTTTAACGAAATTATTCTCTTTTGAAGTTTGCTTATTTTTGGGAGGCAGGATAAATGATGCTTTAATTTTACTGTTAAGTGTAGATATTAAGAATATGAAGATTTAATCATAAGTTTACGAATTAAATATTTAAAAAAAAATTGGCTATGTAAATAAATTTAATGTTTATAATTGTATAAAAGGTTACAAGAAAGCAATATTAAAACAAGTATTATGTAAATTTATATCAAAATTCTAAAGTTATCCATAGAACTGAGCGAGCAGAATTGGCAGTGTATTTACTATTTCGTAACTATATTCTTGTAAAAGGCTATAAAAAATACTCAAAGAAAAATAATTTGAAAAGTACATTTTTATCAAAACGTTTAAATCATTCTTAAAATTAAGATAAATGGAATTAGTAGAAAAATGGGAATAATTATTGTACTAGTCATAAATAAACAATTAAAAAATTTCTTGCCTAATTTCTCTATTAAAATTTTAATATTTATTCTGAATTATGTGGCAATATTTCTGGCAATTTCTAGGACTTTATAATTATATCGATATTTGGAGCCGTTGTAGCTGGACCCATCGTCTCGGTCAAAATTAGCTGAATATAATATAATGGACTATGATCTAAATGGCAGTATGTTTACGTAAGCGAAATAGTTAACGAGAAACGGCAGTGTGCGCGGTATTTCTAATGGTATACTTATAATACACACCTTCTTTGGTATTTTTATAATACACATACAATAAAACTACGCATATATACTGTACAAATACGGAAATGACGTACAGTATGTAAGGGAGCGCATTTGAGCTCGAATTAAATTCGATCAATATGCAAAATAAAACGCTGTATGCAACTTTGTCATTTTTAGACTACTATTTTGGCTTATGTTGAAAACACAGTAAACATGTAAATTGTTGTGAACATAAAATGTTGCATCTCGTTACAGCTGACCCATTAAACTCTGTATAACAACACGCTTCAAATAATGACGAACGTTTTTATCACGTCAAGTACATAAGAGATTTAAAAAAAAAATTATTTAACTTTAAAAATATGACGAGCAAATGTAACCGCGTTATAGTATTGGATAATTGTAATTTAGTGATTTTATTTATCGTAATGCATTATCAATATGCAATCACGTTCGTGCAACATTTTTAAAGTTTGGACTGTTCAGATACCATTTTAGAAAGATTTCATATATTAAACGATAACTGTAAGTGCTTCGAAAAGCAGCTTTAAAGGTACGTCTCTTGTCCAGTTAGTTTCCTACGTAAGTGCTTACGCGTGCGCGCGCACACACACATACACACACACACACACACACACACACACACACACACACACACACACACACACACACACA